GTTCAGGTTCAATACTCCACCTTGGGTCAATGGAAAGATACATAATAATAATATTAACTTTTTTAGTATAATTAACCTTTAGTTAACCTTTTATTCAGATTGTGGTGTTTAACTATTCTCCCTCCTGATTTCAAAAGAAGAACCTATGGAGCTTTTCAATGGGAGTCCTAGGCTCCTTTTGAACCTAGGTGGCGTTGTCCCCTATAACAAATACAAAACATATTGTAGTTTTAATTTAATTTTAGTTTGGTTTCCATACAGATTTAGACAGAGCTTCAAGTGGTGTGCAGGCAACCATTTTGAGATGTTAGCCAGACAATCAAAGATTAGTGTAGCAACCTGGGTTTTTAGAGAGACAAAAAAACAAAACAGTTGTTATCATGTATTCAATAAGCATTCATTCTGATCGATGAAGGAGTAAAATGTAGCAATGGGCAGAAAGAAAAAGTCAATTTGGGGGATATCAGACCAGTGCCCCTTCCTCTGCCAGTGGGTCTGGGTGTTTGGTGAAGGAGTCGGCTATGAGCAGCAGGAGCAGAAGTATTAGCTGGAGTAATCCAAGTCTCAGAGAGAGCAAGGAAATCAAGGGATTGCTGGGGAGTAAAGCCAGAGATGAACTCAGTCTAGTGAGTAGCTGACTGGCAGTTCCACAGGCCTCCTGTCACAAGGTGTTGGATATGCGTGGATTGGGTGGGATCGATAAGAGATGAGAGGATATGGATGTTAGAATATGGTCGAGGCCTATAATATACGAGAAGACACAGAAACAAAGAGTAGACACAAATCTGAGTTAGGAAAGATAAGAGAAAGCACAAAGAAACGTAGCCTTATCAGTGTTGAATTTGCCTCCATTTAGCCTCCCACTACCCCTAAAGGACAGTTTGTAAGATGAGCAGCAGATTTACTCAACAAGGCACAACCTCGCACAGTAAGGGAACTTTTAGTCTGACTGGAACACGCATTTTTCATCAGTCTAGCCCACCAGGCGGGTTTACATTCAGCTCAAGGAAACAGGTGTGAACATTAAGTTTGAATGTGCGTGTGTGTGTGTGTGTGTGTGTGTGTGTGTGTGTGTGTGTGTATGTGTGTGTGTGTGTGTGTGTGTGTGTGTGTGTGTGTGTGTGTGTGTGTGTGTGTGTGTGTGTGTGTGTGTGTGTGTGTGTGTGTGTGTGTGTGTGTGTGTGTGTGTGTGTGTGTGTGTGTGTGTGTGTGTGTGTGTGTCAATTACAGGAAGAGACTCACATGTTTTCTGAGGGCAGGAGTTTTGCATTCAAACATATCTCATGTTCTCTTTCGGTATCATGATCACAAGATAACCAAGGGAAAATACCACTCCTTCCAAACTATTAGAAATAGATATCTGCATGTTCAACATGGATTCTTTTTCTAATTATTTCCTGATGAAATGTAATATGTAGCCTTACGAAACATTTATAAAAAATGTTTCTTCTTAGATAAATATATTTTTGGACCAATCTAAAACTGTTAAGTATTTTTTTTTTAACAACATTAATTCTATAATTAAGATTTAAAGTAAATAAATAATATTCTACACACTTCAACTCGACTAACTCAAATCCCTATTGTAGAAGAAGAGACGAGAAGCAAGGCCACCTCGACTGAGGATTCTCCGGAGCCTGAAGCCAACACTTGCTGTGTGTTCAGGTTCAATACTCCACCTTGGGTCAATGGAAAGATACATAATAATAATATTTACTTTTTTAGTATAATTAAACTTTAGTTAACCTTTTATTCAGATTGTGGTTTTTAACTATTCTCCCTCCTGATTTCAAAAGAAGAACCCATGGAGCTTTTCAATGGGAGTCCTAGGCTCCTTTTGAACCTAGGTGGCGTTGTCCCCTATAACAAATACAAAAAAACAAAACAGTTGTTATCATGTATTCAATAAGCATTCATTCTGATGGATGAAGGCGTAAAATGTAGCAATGGGCAGAAAGAAAAAGTAAATTTGAGGGATATCAGACCAGTGCCCCTTCCTCTGCCAGTGGGTCTGGGTGTTTGGTGAAGGAGTCGGCTATGAGCAGCAGGAGCAGAAGTATTAGCTGGAGTAATCCAAGTCTCAGAGAGAGCAAGGAAATCAAGGGATTGCTGGGGGGTAAAGCCAGAGATGAACTCAGTCTAGTGAGTAGCTGACTGGCAGTTCCACAGGCCTCCTGTCACAAGGTGTTGGATATGCGTGGATTGGGTGGGATCGATAAGAGATGAGAGGATATGGATGTTAGAATATGGTCGAGGCCTATAATATACGAGAAGACACAGAAACAAAGAGTAGACACAAATCTGAGTTAGGAAAGATAAGAGAAAGCACAAAGAAACGTAGCCTTATCAGTGTTGAATTTGCCTCCATTTAGCCTCCCACTACCCCTAAAGGACAGTTTGTAAGATGAGCAGCAGATTTACTCAACAAGGCACAACCTCGCACAGTAAGGGAACTTTTAGTCTGACTGGAACACGCATTTTTCATCAGTCTAGCCCACCAGGCGGGTTTACATTCAGCTCAAGGAAACAGGTGTGAACATTAAGTTTGAATGTGCGTGTGTGTGTGTGTGTGTGTGTGTGTGTGTGTGTGTGTGTGTGTGTGTGTGTGTGTGTGTGTGTGTGTGTGTGTGTGTGTGTGTGTGTGTGTGTGTGTGTGTGTGTGTGTGTGTGTGTGTGTGTGTGTGTGTGTGTGTGTGTGTGTGTGTGTGTGTCAATTACAGGAAGAGACTCACATGTTTTCTGAGGGCAGGAGTTTTGCATTCAAACATATCTCATGTTCTCTTTCGGTATCATGATCACAAGATAACCAAGGGAAAATACCACTCCTTCCAAACTATTAGAAATAGATATCTGCATGTTCAACATGGATTCTTTTTCTAATTATTTCCTGATGAAATGTAATATGTAGCCTTACGAAACATTTATAAAAAATGTTTCTTCTTAGATAAATATATTTTTGGACCAATCTAAAACTGTTAAGTATTTTTTTTTTAACAACATTAATTCTATAATTAAGATTTAAAGTAAATAAATAATATTCTACACACTTCAACTCGACTAACTCAAATCCCTATTGTAGAAGAAGAGACGAGAAGCAAGGCCACCTCGACTGAGGATTCTCCGGAGCCTGAAGCCAACACTTGCTGTGTGTTCAGGTTCAATACTCCACCTTGGGTCAATGGAAAGATACATAATAATAATATTTACTTTTTTAGTATAATTAAACTTTAGTTAACCTTTTATTCAGATTGTGGTTTTTAACTATTCTCCCTCCTGATTTCAAAAGAAGAACCCATGGAGCTTTTCAATGGGAGTCCTAGGCTCCTTTTGAACCTAGGTGGCGTTGTCCCCTATAACAAATACAAAACATATTGTAGTTTTAATTTAATTTTAGTTTGGTTTCCATACAGATTTAGACAGAGCTTCAAGTGGTGTGCAGGCAACCATTTTGAGATGTTAGCCAGACAATCAAAGATTAGTGTAGCAACCTGGATTTTTAGAGAGACAAAAAAACAAAACAGTTGTTATCATGTATTCAATAAGCATTCATTCTGATGGATGAAGGCGTAAAATGTAGCAATGGGCAGAAAGAAAAAGTAAATTTGAGGGATATCAGACCAGTGCCCCTTCCTCTGCCAGTGGGTCTGGGTGTTTGGTGAAGGAGTCGGCTATGAGCAGCAGGAGCAGAAGTATTAGCTGGAGTAATCCAAGTCTCAGAGAGAGCAAGGAAATCAAGGGATTGCTGGGGGGTAAAGCCAGAGATGAACTCAGTCTAGTGAGTAGCTGACTGGCAGTTTCAGAGGCCTCCTGTCACAAGGTGTTGGATATGCGTGGATTGGGTGGGAATCGATAAGAGATGAGAGGATATGGATGTTAGAATATGGTCGAGGCCTATAATATACGAGAAGACACAGAAACAAAGAGTAGACACAAATCTGAGTTAGGAAAGATAAGAGAAAGCACAAAGAAACGTAGCCTTATCAGTGTTGAATTTGCCTCCATTTAGCCTCCCACTACCCCTAAAGGACAGTTTGTAAGATGAGCAGCAGATTTACTCAACAAGGCACAACCTCGCACAGTAAGGGAACTTTTAGTCTGACTGGAACACGCATTTTTCATCAGTCTAGCCCACCAGGCGGGTTTACATTCAGCTCAAGGAAACAGGTGTGAACATTAAGTTTGAATGTGCGTGTGTGTGTGTGTGTGTGTGTGTGTGTGTGTGTGTGTGTGTATGTGTGTGTGTGTGTGTGTGGTGTGTGTGTGTGTGTGTGTGTGTGTGTGTGTGTGTGTGTGTGTGTGTGTGTGTGTGTGTGTGTGTGTGTGTGTGTGTGTGTGTGTGTGTGTGTGTGTGTGTCAATTACAGGAAGAGACTCACATGTTTTCTGAGGGCAGGAGTTTTGCATTCAAACATATCTCATGTTCTCTTTCGGTATCATGATCACAAGATAACCAAGGGAAAATACCACTCCTTCCAAACTATTAGAAATAGATATCTGCATGTTCAACATGGATTCTTTTTCTAATTATTTCCTGATGAAATGTAATATGTAGCCTTACGAAACATTTATAAAAAATGTTTCTTCTTAGATAAACATATTTTTGGACCAATCTAAAACTGTTAAGTATTTTTTTTTTGACAACATTAATTCTATAATTAAGATTTAAAGTAAATAAATAATATTCTACACACTTCAACTCGACTAACTCAAATCCCTATTGTAGAAGAAGAGACGAGAAGCAAGGCCACCTCGACTGAGGATTCTCCGGAGCCTGAAGCCAACACTTGCTGTGTGTTCAGGTTCAATACTCCACCTTGGGTCAATGGAAAGATACATAATAATAATATTAACTTTTTTAGTATAATTAACCTTTAGTTAACCTTTTATTCAGATTGTGGTGTTTAACTATTCTCCCTCCTGATTTCAAAAGAAGAACCTATGGAGCTTTTCAATGGGAGTCCTAGGCTCCTTTTGAACCTAGGTGGCGTTGTCCTCTATAACAAATACAAAACATATTGTAGTTTTAATTTAATTTTAGTTTGGTTTCCATACAGATTTAGACAGAGCTTCAAGTGGTGTGCAGGCAACCATTTTGAGATGTTAGCCAGACAATCAAAGATTAGTGTAGCAACCTGGATTTTTAGAGAGACAAAAAAACAAAACAGTTGTTATCATGTATTCAATAAGCATTCATTCTGATGGATGAAGGCGTAAAATGTAGCAATGGGCAGAAAGAAAAAGTCAATTTGGGGGATATCAGACCAGTGCCCCTTCCTCTGCCAGTGGGTCTGGGTGTTTGGTGAAGGAGTCGGCTATGAGCAGCAGGAGCAGAAGTATTAGCTGGAGTAATCCAAGTCTCAGAGAGAGCAAGGAAATCAAGGGATTGCTGGGGGGTAAAGCCAGAGATGAACTCAGTCTAGTGAGTAGCTGACTGGCAGTTTCAGAGGCCTCCTGTCACAAGGTGTTGGATATGCGTGGATTGGGTGGGATCGATAAGAGATGAGAGGATATGGATGTTAGAATATGGTCGAGGCCTATAATATACGAGAAGACACAGAAACAAAGAGTAGACACAAATCTGAGTAAGGAAAGATAAGAGAAAGCACAAAGAAACGTAGCCTTATCAGTGTTGAATTTGCCTCCATTTAGCATCCCACTACCCCTAGGACAGTTTGTAAGATGAGCAGCAGATTTACTCAACAAGGCACAACCTCGCACAGTAAGGGAACTTTTAGTCTGACTGGAACACACATTTTTCATCAGCTTAGCACACCAGGCGGGTTTACATTCAGCTCAAGGAAACAGGTGTGAAAATTACATTTGAATGTGCGTGTGTGTGTGTGTGTGTGTGTGTGTGTGTGTGTGTGTGTGTGTGTGTGTGTGTGTGTGTGTGTGTGTGTGTGTGTGTGTGTGTGTGTGTCAATTACAGGAAGAGACTCACATGTTTTCTGAGGGCAGGAGTTTTGCATTCAAACATATCTCATGTTCTCTTTCGGTATCATGATCACAAGATAACCAAGGGAAAATACCACTCCTTCCAAACTATTAGAAATAGATATCTGCATGTTCAACATGGATTCTTTTTCTAATTATTTCCTGATGAAATGTAATATGTAGCCTTACGAAACATTTATAAAAAATGTTTCTTCTTAGATAAATATATTTTTGGACCAATCTAAAACTGTTAAGTATTTTTTTTTTTAACAACATTAATTCTATAATTAAGATTTAAAGTAAATAAATAATATTCTACACACTTCAACTCGACTAACTCAAATCCCTATTGTAGAAGAAGAGACGAGAAGCAAGGCCACCTCGACTGAGGATTCTCCGGAGCCTGAAGCCAACACTTGCTGTGTGTTCAGGTTCAATACTCCACCTTGGGTCAATGGAAAGATACATAATAATAATATTTACTTTTTTAGTATAATTAAACTTTAGTTAACCTTTTATTCAGATTGTGGTTTTTAACTATTCTCCCTCCTGATTTCAAAAGAAGAACCTATGGAGCTTTTCAATGGGAGTCCTAGGCTCCTTTTGAACCTAGGTGGCGTTGTCCCCTATAACAAATACAAAACATATTGTAGTTTTAATTTAATTTTAGTTTGGTTTCCATACAGATTTAGACAGAGCTTCAAGTGGTGTGCAGGCAACCATTTTGAGATGTTAGCCAGACAATCAAAGATTAGTGTAGCAACCTGGATTTTTAGAGAGACAAAAAAACAAAACAGTTGTTATCATGTATTCAATAAGCATTCATTCTGATGGATGAAGGCGTAAAATGTAGCAATGGGCAGAAAGAAAAAGTAAATTTGAGGGATATCAGACCAGTGCCCCTTCCTCTGCCAGTGGGTCTGGGTGTTTGGTGAAGGAGTCGGCTATGAGCAGCAGGAGCAGAAGTATTAGCTGGAGTAATCCAAGTCTCAGAGAGAGCAAGGAAATCAAGGGATTGCTGGGGGGTAAAGCCAGAGATGAACTCAGTCTAGTGAGTAGCTGACTGGCAGTTTCAGAGGCCTCCTGTCACAAGGTGTTGGATATGCGTGGATTGGGTGGGATCGATAAGAGATGAGAGGATATGGATGTTAGAATATGGTCGAGGCCTATAATATACGAGAAGACACAGAAACAAAGAGTAGACACAAATCTGAGTTAGGAAAGATAAGAGAAAGCACAAAGAAACGTAGCCTTATCAGTGTTGAATTTGCCTCCATTTAGCCTCCCACTACCCCTAGGACAGTTTGTAAGATGAGCAGCAGATTTACTCAACAAGGCACAACCTTGCACAGTAAGGGAACTTTTAGTCTGACTGGAACACACATTTTTCATCAGTCTAGCCCACCAGGCGGGTTTACATTCAGCTCAAGGAAACAGGTGTGAACATTAAGTTTGAATGTGCGTGTGTGTGTGTGTGTGTGTGTGTGTGTGTGTGTGTATGTGTGTGTGTGTGTGTGTGTGTGTGTGTGTGTGTGTGTGTGTGTGTGTGTGTGTGTGTGTGTGTGTGTGTGTGTGTGTGTGTGTGTGTGTGTGTGTGTGTGTGTCAATTACAGGAAGAGACTCACATGTTTTCTGAGGGCAGGAGTTTTGCATTCAAACATATCTCATGTTCTCTTTCGGTATCATGATCACAAGATAACCAAGGGAAAATACCACTCCTTCCAAACTATTAGAAATAGATATCTGCATGTTCAACATGGATTCTTTTTCTAATTATTTCCTGATGAAATGTAATATGTAGCCTTACGAAACATTTATAAAAAATGTTTCTTCTTAGATAAATATATTTTTGGACCAATCTAAAACTGTTAAGTATTTTTTTTTTAACAACATTAATTCTATAATTAAGATTTAAAGTAAATAAATAATATTCTACACACTTCAACTCGACTAACTCAAATCCCTATTGTAGAAGAAGAGACGAGAAGCAAGGCCACCTCGACTGAGGATTCTCCGGAGCCTGAAGCCAACACTTGCTGTGTGTTCAGGTTCAATACTCCACCTTGGGTCAATGGAAAGATACATAATAATAATATTAACTTTTTTAGTATAATTAACCTTTAGTTAACCTTTTATTCAGATTGTGGTGTTTAACTATTCTCCCTCCTGATTTCAAAAGAAGAACCTATGGAGCTTTTCAATGGGAGTCCTAGGCTCCTTTTGAACCTAGGTGGCGTTGTCCCCTATAACAAAAACAAAACATATTGTAGTTTTAATTTAATTTTAGTTTGGTTTCCATACAGATTTAGACAGAGCTTCAAGTGGTGTGCAGGCAACCATTTTGAGATGTTAGCCAGACAATCAAAGATTAGTGTAGCAACCTGGGTTTTAGAGAGACAAAAACCCAAACAGTTGTTATCATTTATTGAATGAGCATTATTCACGGAAACAGGTGTGAAAATTAGGTTTGATTGTGTGTGTGTGTGTGTGTGTGTGTGTGTGTGTGTGTGTGTGTTTAGTTTCTGTGCATTTAGAGTAAGAGACTCCCATGTTTGCTGAGGGCAGGATTTTGGCAGAATACGCTGGCATTCCTTCAGGACTCCACACAAACAAACCTTAATCAAGAGCAAAAAACGACTCCTTCGAAACTATTATAAATACATATCTTCATGGATAATCAAGAATCCTGTGTAGCCTTATTTATTATTATTATTTAGATGTTGATGAACTGTATTTTTAACTGAAACAAATGGTATTCTGTGCTTTGCAACTGAGTTTATTCAAATCCCTTTTGTAGTTTTGATTTCTTCAAGCTATGACTTCCAAACTAAGACCCCCTTTAAAGGAGTGCTTTTATGTCAATATTTGTTTATCTACGCTTTTTCCTAGGTTAGTTTAGGTTTAGTTTTTTAGCTGAGCTGCACAATATGTATACCCTAATGATAGACACTGCTGGTCAGGGAAGCCGTCCCACTGAAGAAGTACGATTTCCTGGTTATATTATCCCGGGGGACCCTGGAGGCAGTTGCAAAGTACAGACAGGCCCGAAGAACAGAAGCCTTCAGCCATGGCAGAGGCAAAGCAGTGGGCGTGGGAGTAGTTCTGGGAAGCCAAGGAAAAGGACTTTGGCCTCAAAGCGAGTTTGTACTGTAATGTAACGTCACAAGTTGAGATGCAGGACTTGGACACGCCAGATATCGATTCAGACTCACGGCACACAGTCCAGTTGACTCTTGTGTTTACCAGCTCACATGCGTTCTCTCTCTGCCTCTGTGTCTTTCACACACTGACACACACACTCAAACATTAATTCACGTAATTTGAATTCATGCATTGTAAAAACATTTCCCCCATCTCTTCCCCTCCCTCTCTAACACACACATGCACAGCAAATCCTCCTCTCAGTTATTAGCTCTCACTCTCATCCTTCAGCTAACCTGGCCCTAAAGTTCTGTGAGTAAACATCTCCAATAAAACAACTTTTTCAGACTGACTAACACACAACAGGGCACAGGCACCCGAACCACATCAGAAACTACACACATCGCTAACGGATCGTTCAGTTAACAGGTGATTCAAACAGAGAAAAGGGGATGTGCATTTCACTCACCCTATTTGTAGAGGAAGGCCATTCCCCTGCCTTACATAGGGTTGAAGAGGTAAATAACGATGTTGTAGAATTCCCCACCAGCCTTCAGGTCCTCCACAACATTAGAGTCAATATATATTATATACCAGCTTGCCACTCCACGCAAACATAATTTTTGTCATTTCAAGTCAAAATCCCTCCTTGTTCCTCTCCATACAAAACTCTAGTAGGCTGGGTGTTGGCCTACCATACCATTTAATTTTGAGATGCTATATAATTTAATAAAAGTGTTTTTTATCTCAAACTCCAAAACTCCACTCTCCATAACTGCACTTGCGAATGTTGTTACTTGCTAACGTCTGTTCGAGGATATGCATTTTATTATAGTGGGTGTCTGAGGAACCCCAAATGTCACACAGGGGATAAGTAGTGCTTTAGAGATCATGTCTCTTGAAGCTACCAGCTTTATTTGAGAGAAGAACGTTTTCAGTATTACATACTTTGGGGTCCTTTTACTGTAGAAGTTGCAGAGTATCTTGGAGTCCATGATAAACATCCACAGCCTACGGAGGAAATAGAGCCGCTCTCGAGCTGAAAAACAGAAGTTGGAGGTTTGAAGGGCCGTTGGGATGGAAGGATGAAAGGATCAAGGGATATAGGGAGGGATGGATGAATGCATGAAGGGAGGGATGAAGAGATATATGTGGGCTGTGAAATCTGAGACAATTGAAGCTGGATTTGTTCACCGGGTATAATCGACTTAGCAGTTGATTAGGAGGAGGTGTGGCCCTTCTCCCTAAGGTGACTAAGGTGACTTATTAACCAAATGTTTTTTAATGCATTTTGATTTAATATTGCTATTGAGTATTGTTTGACCTAGAATAACCCGATCCACCAAATGTCATGTTCCTTTAACCTCTATTTGTCCAAAAAATATCATTCATGACTGATTCTTGATTATGATTGGCTGAGCTTCATTCAAAGCAGTTGTAAAAACGTTAAAGCTCTAACAGCATAACGATAACAATGCTGCGCCAATTAGTCATCTACCTTTTCAAAATGTCCAATTTTGTTATGAATTTTGAGCGTGTATGAGTGGTGGAAGGATATGGACAGGACCTGGATAGAGGAGAAAAAGAAAAAAAGAAAGCTGAAATAACTGGGAAAGAGGTTGAAGAGCAGGAAACGACTAAAGCGGACTTTGTGCTCTGTTCAAAAAAGTATAGGTCATAAATATGAATGGCCGAAAATACATGATAATGCTGGCGGTAGAAACATGGAGTGCCTGCAGGCCTTTATGTTTGAGCAGCAGTGAACCCACGCTGTCCTGTCGCAGGACAAATACCTGCTGCTCTGCATAAAGCCGAAAATGTTTAAATTATTTTTTTACATATTCAAACTCCAGCTGATAGCTAAATAAGATCCTTAAAAAAATATATATATTTAGTCTTCCAATTAGACATAAAGTAATCCGAGCTGCAACTAAGCTTTATCTTTCTTGTTAAATAATCTGCAGTGATTTCCTAAATTATTGGGTTTGATCAATTTACCCAAAGATATTCAGTGTAGTATTGGGAAACCACTAAATCTTTCAAATTAGAACATGTTTTAAATTATAAATAGATCATCACAAATATTGCAGATTTATTTTCTGCTGACTCATCGTTTAGCTCTATAAATATCAAAAGGCTAATTTCCAGATTGGGCCTTGCTGTCTTAAAACCCATCTCTTTCTAAACCACTCTCGGTGAAAAACAAAACCATAAACAAGTGACCCACATAATCACTGTGCAGATATTTCTTCTCACTGTGGATGATGACAGTAATCAAAACCACTACAGCCAAAAATTATATTTGTAAAATGCAAACAAATGCTGACTGGGGGTGGGTGGGGGGGGAGGTCCAGTGCCTTGCTCAATTGAAGAGATTCAATATCAAACTTTCCCCTGCACTATATTTATGTACACTCTGCTGCAAGATTATTAAAACCAAATATATAATGATGTATAATCCTCTGCAATATATTGTAGATTTCTTAATGCTTTGCATTAAAAATAACTGCTGGCCGGAAAAGGTAATAAAGATTGAAATATATATATTTATTTTAATTAAAAACATCATAAAGTATATTTACTTAGACATCGTGGAACATTTATAAATCGTGACTTTCGTGAAGTCAAATCCCGGCTTTTGAGGTACTGGCAGTGACACAGCTAGTGTATATCCGGTCTCAAGCTATTTAAATATTCATATTCCCTATAAGGTTCAATAATGGAGATTCCCTCATCTATTCCTTGTTGAAATGTTTTCCCTTTATTTATATATTTAACTAATGAATCCCCTTTACACTGTGTTTTTGTTTGATTGTCCTGTTGATTTCACAGCTGTTATTTTATATTGTTATGCTATATGATGATTTACAGAACTATAATTATTATTGATGCTAGCAACGTTAACGCTATAACGATAAATCTGAAACCGCATTAAAGAAGAAATGCGAGAAAGAAGCAGTTACATTAATGTGAAATTCTGCTTTCTGCCACTTGAGGGAACAAGAAATCACAAACTACCCACACATAACAGTAGTGCCAGATTTGCTCTTTTCTTTTCAGAAAATACTACTTTAAGTCCCCATATACTAATGAACATGATTTGATGCAGCAGTAACTACAGGCTGTAGGCCTACCAAATACTGTGTAAGAAATAAATTCTGCACAAAAACAACACTCACTTAAATTTGGGGAAAAGGACACAAGAGGGCACTAAAGGCTCATGAAGTCCATGATGAAGGAAGGTCAGCACCACCAGATGCTTTCCAGACAACGGCCATTCAAATACAGGAGTAACAGAGCACAACTACTTCACAAAACACATACACATTTTATTTAAACGCGCAGAACTGCACTGTGTCGTGTGTCTTTACACAGTGGTTGAATATAACTAAGTACCTTTACTAAAGTTCCCTACTGAAGTAATATTTGACATAATTTTCCTTTATACTTAAATTCTGTAATTTGTACTTAACTGCATATATTTAACACTCAGGTACTAGTTACTTTTTACATATATAAACACATGAAATACTATATGATAAAATGCAGTATGTTACAAATTATAAACCCTGTATTTTTGAAAGTATCTATAATTGACTCCACATTGACAAACTACAACATTTAAGTGCTAGGAATTTGTAATGATAAAAAAACAGGATAATATAATAACCATAATAATATAATGCTGTGGAAAGAGCCATTCTGCATAACATGCACTTTTGATTTTGATACTTACAGTATATTTAGCTGATTATAGTTGTATACTGTACCTGTTCTGGTATTGGCCATCGTGCAGAGTGAGTAATTTTACTTTTTGTACTTCAAGTATATTTGGATGCCAATAATTTTGTACTTTTACATGCGCAATTCAGGACTTTTACTTAAAACCATAGTATTTCCACTTTTACTTAAGTTAAGGATCTGAATACTTATTCTCACACTAGATGTACAGGTAACCTTGTTCAGATTGTATGAATACCATTATACAGTATAACATGAAAACATGTATACATACAAATCGTTTTGTTAAAAGACTTGGTTCAACAGAAAACATATAGACAAAACCTTTTCTAACTAACGTATTTAATACTTCCTAAATGACCAGAAACAGATTTAAATTAGTCTGTGGTAATTATAGTAATTTAAATCCTGATTAAACTGCTGATTTTTAAATGTTATTTTGTAATGCATAGTACCATAAAATACATTTAGTTTCCTGCATGTTGTTCTGGTGGTGGCAGAATACTCAGTTAAATCTGAAAATCTGGATGAAAAAACACAGAAATAAACAGATAGATTATTTTCACTTGAGAAAAGGAAACTGACAACTGACTTTGATCATAATCATTTTATTGTTATATTTGCTTCAACATTATTTTTTCTCCATAGGATCTGACAACATATCATCATTTTGTTGGTTTCCATTATGCACACAACTTTATGTTTGTCAACCTGAATAAAAGTAACAACAAAAAAAAGGATATAAATGTTAAACTATATATGATATATTTTTCAACTTTCTTGTGGCTGGATCAACTTTTAATATATCTGAAAATATCAATACCATGATCAACAGTATTCTCTGCTGTTGTCTTGTTTAAATAATTTTTAATCTACAGCAAAAAGTCAGTTACATAAACATTTCTTATTCACTGCCTTAACTTCAAATAAACAAAACAGTAGAGCATATCAAAGAATAATGAGTACATGTTAGAAAACATCCGTTTCTCACGGTCTTTGTACTTTAAGCACTTAGGATGCACTGCAATAAATGCTGAAAAAAAAACTGTAGTGTAAAAATAATAATAGTAAGTAAAACATGATTTAATCACACGGTCTTTGTACGACACAGACCCACGACATCATATTGTGCACACAGCATGATGTTCTTTAAGCAAATTATTCAAAAAGAATAAAACAAATGGAATATTTAAAAGTAAAACATATAAATGAAAAGATAACAGTGTCTTGCATGAAACTATAACAGTACAAATATTAAACAATAGTGATGACATTTGATAACATCTGTTTCTCATGGCCTTTATGCATTAAGCAAAGTTGAATAATAAAACAAAACATGTAAATAGTTGAGTAAGTAATAATAAGTAGTAAAAATAAAAGTAAGTAAAACATGATCTCATCACTAGTCTTTGCCTACATCATCATTTTGTGCACACGGCGTGAGTGAGTTTTTCAAAAATATTATAAAAAACATTTAAAATTTAAAAATATAAATGATAAAATAAAAATGTCTTGTATGAAACTATAACAGTAAAACTATTGAAGACATATGAGACATCTGTTTTGCACTAGTCCTTATATAAAGAGCTGCAATCATCAAGAACAATGAACTCAAAACAATATAAAATCAGAGCATTCAAACAGTCCTTCTTTCTCACTTGTTCATCACATCATTATCCGTCTAACAGAATGAAAATCAAAAGTTCATCATCAACAAGATGTGAAGGATGCCACAGTATTTGCACTTGAAGCAAAACGTCATCAACATGAACATACACAGTACTTCAACTGAGGCTGGCTTATGTACTCTCCAAGTACACATCAAAGTGTATATGTACAATAAATGTTGAATAATAAAATAAAAAAATGAAAAAAAGTTGAGTAAGTAATAATAAGTAGTAAAAACAAACACAAACATGATCTCATCACATGGTCTTTAGACATCATTGCATGAACACAAGAAATGAATACAAATAATAAAACAAAAAAAAAGTAAGTATTTGAAAGTTTTAAAAAAACAAAGCAAGTCATTTGTATCTTTTTGTATTATTCTCAGACTGGTATAAAATCACATACATTTTTCCTCCTGGTTTTTATCTGCAAAACACGTTACTTAAAAGCTCAAATGTGAAGCAATACATGACTCATGCGGACATTTACATCACAAAACATCTCTTTGTTTCCAACACGGTCTTTGTAGTAAACCATCTTTATCATTGACATCAACTTTGTTGTGCACAGCAGTTATAATGCACAACTTTAACAGTTTACTGAAAATAAATGTAGCAGTCAAAAAACTAAAATGACAAAAACAAATAACATGATCTCTTTCTTCAGGTAGACTATGACGTACTTCATTTTCAGAATCATATTTTGTTACGCTAGTCATTACACATAGAGGAATATAATATCTTGAAAAAGAACAATAACAAAAAAGCAATAAAGATTTAAAGAATAGTTCCTCTTTTTTGTTAACATCATTATCGTGCATACCAGTCATTGTACATGAGGTCTTATAGAAGATTGATGAAGGAAAACAAAACATGTGTAATCTTAAAAAGAAAAAAAAACATCTCACATAACTCTCTCTAGCTTTTTAACTTCTCTGCAACTTCTTAAAATCATCAGTTGTCAATAATAGTGATTGTCAAACTCCAGGATGCCACTAAAGATCACGGTGCAGTCAACTTTATCACAACAGTGTTGATCCGTTTTGTATTTTTTTTTTTGCCCTGAGGCCTGTACTACGAAGCTGGTTCAACCTAACCTGGATATGTTGGAGTTAGCCGGTTGGCCCAATCTGGCTAAACTGTACTACGACGCTGGTTATCAAGTGGATCGCTCAAGCCAGCCGTGTCCTATCTAGTTAGGTGCGCGTTCACATGAAAGGGGTGGTATTTGGAGCATTCGACCAATCTCAAACACGGACAAGCGTACTGACAGCGCAGCGTCATACTTCCTGAATGAAAAGTGAACTTTAATATTAGTCAAATATGAAGAAGTTAAACTTTAAACATCCATGACTTAAATACTTTTTCCAGGATAAAAGCCACATAGTTGCAGCTGCAAGGTGAATACAGCTGGTAAAAGAAAAAGTGTTTGAATACGTTCATTAACAGTTTTATGATATCACTGCCCCGTCCAAGACACGAGTGGATCTGACTTTAATTACATTTGACTCGAGTGTTTCGTCAACTTAATGTGTTGCTTAAAATAATACTTCTGCATACAGTATGTGACACTGTGAGTGTTGCACGGCCAGATACGGCTCAAGAAGCTGACTCAGATAAGGAAATATATGATACATTATGATGTGATATCATGTGATATGAATGATAATGGGGTACGTCTGCACTCACAGTGCCGCAGACTGTAGGTTACTTATGTTGTGGCAGATATTTAAGTAAGCTTTCTTAACGCTAATGTTATAATAGTCAGATTGCTCTGAAGATGGGAGGGGATATTCTATTAATTTTCACGTTCACACAGTCGGTGATTTTGGCCGGTCGTCTTTCCTGCAACGGCAGTTTAAACTGTATTTCCTTTCTCCTCCTGTCATATGAATTGATCGCTTTAAACTCCGCACACTGAGCTCTGATTGGTCAGCAGGCAGTGCTTTTATCCTGGAACCTATCCTGCTCCGGAGGATAGCCGTTCAGAATAAGTTATCTAGCCCGCTAAAAAGTGAACCAGCTTCGTAGGACCGGAAACCCCTGAAGTTAGCTTGCTAAACGAAAATCTTGATTCGTAGTATAGCCCCCTGGTTTGCCGCTCAGCATAAATTACCATGGAAATCTAGCCTGCTAAAAAGAGAACCAGCGTCGTAGGACCGGAAAGCCCGAGATTTCCCTGAATTTAGCCGGCTAAGCGAAAATCCAGCTTCGTAGTACAGGCCTCTGATCATATGCATTCAGTTTGCACACTCAGTAAATGCATTGGCTACTAGAGTGCTTCAAGAATCAGTGAAACAGCAATAACTCTGTGTGTGTATAAACTTGGACCACACATTTTTCATCAGCTTAACGCATCAGGCCGGTTTAAATGTAGCTCAAGGAAACCGGTGTGTGACAGTGAGGTGTGTGTGTGTGTAGTTTCTGTGTGTTTGCAGAAGAAGACACTCAGGTTTGCTGAGGGCAGGAATGTGGCAAAACACGCTGACATTCCTGCAGGACTCAGACTCCACCCACAAATACCTCAACTCTCTGTTTACTTCCACTGTTCAAACTCTCCGTCATTATCGTCAACACCAGATAATCATAGAAACTACAGCTCCTGTTTATTAAGCTGCATGTAACCTTCAGTATTCAGCCCTTAATCAATCCCGTAATAAAGCCAAAGGACATGAAAACATTACATTTAGACAACACTTTTATCCAAGTGCAATAAACCATGAAGAAACAAAATCAGAAAGCGATTTCTGTTTACTCCCACTGTTCAAATTCCCTTTCACAAATAAGATAATCAAAGTGAACTCCTGTGGAAACTATCATTAAAACCATCTTTGTATTAATAATCGGAAACTTATTTTCTAAATATTTCTGTTAACAAATGTAATGTGAAGCCTTAGGAAGTATTTAGGAAATGTATGTGTCTTTTCGGTTTTAAATAAAAATGTGTTTTGTAAATGTATAATTATAGAAATAAACCTCCTTAGTTTCATTTTAATATATTTTTTTCATTTGAGGTATTGAATTTATTTGTAAACGTAAATACGTAAATGCTTAGCTTGGATTTTTTTTCAATTGAATAAATCTTTTCTAAATTAAGACATTATTATAGTTGGTGTTTTACACAAATGGTTATTTTCAACTTGTTTTGTTAGCTTGATTTGATGTGCACCTTTTCCTTGGCTTATATCTGTATTATGTTAAACTGTAAAATAGTTATAACCTCATGACACCTAAAGTATATCATGTACAACATCATTTTGAATAAATCCAAAATCAAGGTATTTGGAATGCCCTTCTGTTCTAGATTTAAACTTATGGAGCCACAATAAAATACAAGTAATGCTTTTTATTACATACACAAAGGACTCTTGAAAAATATATTTCCCCTTACTATTGAAGAAATAACATTTGTATTTTTATGAGAAAGGAATAAGCGTCAGTATGAATTTAAAAACCCTTACCTTGTAGTTTAAGCGTCTCTCAGTTTCATTGATGGTTTTCTCTCCTTCTCACCCTTATGTATTCAGGCTGTGACCCAAAGATGCACCTACAGACATTTTAGAGGAGGAGGAGGAGGAAGAGGAGGAGGAGGAGTGGAGATGAGGAATGCAGCCTTTCTGGATGTGCTGAATGAAAAGTGATGTCACTCTGGAAATGGCGGGAGGTAATTAAATACACTCACACATCCACTTTCACCTCAGAGGAAACTATAATTATTTTTACGGCTCCATGTCTATCTTTGCTGCTGAAGTTACTGTAGATTTAGATTGGCTGCGATCATAACACATCTCTTTCCTTTCATACATCTTCTTTATATCCTTCAAGTACTTCATGGAAATCCCCAGAACTGGACAGACAGTGTTTTAATCAATGGAAGAAGTACTCACATGCATCTTATACTTGCGTAATAGTAATGATACCACAGTGTAGAAATACTTTATTACAAGTCAAAGTCTCTATGTCTCTACGCATTGAAAATGTCACTTAAGTAAAAGTACAAAAGTTGTACTTAAAGGTGGGGTAGGTAATTCACTTCAGAAACACTTTTTGTTATATTCCATGGAATGCTCTTAACATCCCGATAGCAATGAATATATTAAATGCTTTGACAATAAATACATTAACAAATGTCATCTGTGGAAGCCGTAGTACTGTAAAAAGCACGACCAATCATCTGAGCCGGCCCGGCTAAAATAACTGGATGGCCTACCTGCCTGTCAGCCTTCCATCTGTGCACAAACTTATCTCGTGCCCTCATTGGTCATGTGTGCGTTCGTGTGTGTTGGACGAGAGGCTCTGTAAGGAAGTCTGAAGGAAGGGGCAGATTTTATCCGGCTGCGTACTTTCAAATTCTAGCGCACTCGAGCTGGTTTCTCAATTCTTACCTACCCTACCTTTAAGCACTGATTCTTCACAATGGCCTATTTCAGAATAATATAAAGTACAGACTTAACAGATACATGTACATCAAGTATCAAAAGTAAAGAGCATTGTACTTTGTCAACATTTAATTAAAATAGCAGAAATTTTAAATACTGTGTATATTAGTAGTACATCAATGCATTATACCACATCAGCTTATCGTGTGCTTTTATATGTACAAATTAAATGTGAGTGCTTATTAAATGTAATAGAGTAAAACGTACAATATTTGCCTCTGAATGGATAAAGTAGCACCACATCTAAACATACTCATCATCCAAAGAGACCATTGTTAGAATAATATATACAGTATATTAAAGGGATACAATTATTGATCCTTTATTGTGTTCAACATTTTAATCGTACAGTGGGCAAAGATGGAGATACCTTTAATAACCTTTTATAACGCCAATTATCTTAATTTAAAATAGTACATTATAATGTATTAGTTGATGTATTTCTGTATTAATAATATTAACCTGTAAAAAGTAACTAGTAACTAATCTTGACAAATAAATGTAGTGGAGTAAAAAGTACAATGTTTGCCTCCGAAATGTAGTGTAGTAGAAGGATAAACAAAATGGAAATACTCAAGTAGAGTACAAGTACCTCAAACATTTACTTAAAAGTAAATGTACTTAGTCACTGGTTTTAATCTGACAGCCAAGCTCAGTAGTTTAATATTTTTCTTTCTTCTACTTTGTTCTCGAAGGAACATTTTCTTATTCTTCCATATTAATCTTTAGTGCTGAATTAATTTGTCAAATGTCATCCCTTTCTTTCATCATTATTTTTCTTCTTCCCTTCTTTCATGGAATCCTGGAACTAGAGATACTGGGTGTTATCCTGGCATCCAAGCTCTACTTCTCTTGACAATCAGTAGCATAATATATTGTCTTTCTGTCACTTTGACCTTAGAGGAAAATGTTGATATAAGGTAAGATAAAATAAACCTTTATTAACCCTCGTGGGAAAACCCAGGTGTCAGAGCAGGAACAGAAATGAGGGTGAAACACAGAACAGGACAGCTAAAAGTTCACACTAGGATTATCAGAACAACAAATTAGAAATCTAAGTGACAGTATAAGGTACAATTTAAATATCTTTACATATAAACAGATATGAATAATTATGAATATGTCAAATGTATAGATGTGAATGTGCAAGTCTTGAGTATGTACCATACCTGCAAAAGTAGACGCTTTTCTGGCGAAATTTGCCATTTTTGGCCAGCACAATTTCCCTTGAAGACCAGAGTTGGTTCTGAAAACGTTTGTCACGTCGCGATCTTCTTCTCAGTAAAACATATTTTCAAAGATGCTTCTTGAGTCTTTGGGCCAATCAGTATCAAGGTAAGGGCATCGTTTTCCTTTCCATGGAAGAAGAACTTCTCGCGGTTGAACCATCACTTTATATATCCATGGGTACAACATGAAGACACAATAGTTATGAGGTAAGTCCTGTTTGTTGCTAACTTAACTTTAAGTAAGTTGTTGCCAATGTAATGTGAACTTGCCAAATCAAGTTTTAGTGCGTCATAATAATCTTTTCCAACCTGTTAATAATGGAAAGATTGCCAGCTTGTTAACACGTCAGCTAATGTTAACTCTATTTCATTTATTTTTGCTGAGTTAATGCTTACTTCCGGTGCATCAGTATTATGTCATATCACATGATTTTAACGTGCGTCATTGTCGTAAGTTACAAGGGAAATACAAATGAAAACTTAATTAAATAAGAACCACGGTTTGATTGGTGAATGGCTCTAATCACAACAAGTTGTAGTATTATGTAGTAGTGAAGGTGTTACACAGTATTTGGTGACCAATCAGATTCTTTGACCTGCAGTGATGAAAAAATACTCAGAAACTTCTCTTTCCTTCTCTATCAGTCTTTATCAGTAATTTTGCTTTTGATTAGTTGAATTGTTTAATTACACTGAAGAAAATATAAGAACAGAACATTTTCTAATAATGCTTTTTAGGATCTGTTTCCTGTTTTATTTTGAAGTTGTTTCTCATTTAGTTTATTTGTTTTGGCTGTAGTTCTACCTGTTCCCCGTACTGTACACCAACATGCTTTACAGTATAGCCTAGCATTAGCTTGTATTTAAGTTGTTGATTTATCTTTGGTCTTTGTTGGATTCTTGCATGTTGTCCAGCATGTCTTTAATGTATTTTACCCCTATTGTTCACTTTAATACAAAGTTACAGTACTTCCTCTATCAGTGATGTCACAGTTTCACTAAACCCGGGCTCCTATTGTGAGGAAAATATAAAAACAGCCCTCTTCTTCCTCCAAATCTGCATTCCACTCTGCAAGTGATGTGTGTGTGTTGTGTGTGTGTGTGTGTGTGTGTGTGTGTGTGTGTGTGTGTGTGTGTGTGTGTGTGTGTGTGTGTGTGTGTGTGTGTGTGTGTGTGTGTGTGTGTGTGTGTGTGTGTGTGTGTGTGTGTGTGTGCTGAGGATTAGCAACTGTCTTCAGCTGGTTAAACACACGCTATGAAGATAAACTACGGGTTTAAAAAAAATGAATGTAGATTAAGAAGCTTTGTATAAAAAAGCGTCAGCTAAATGAAATGTAATGTAAAGAAGACAATTTCATCAAAATGGACTTCCTTTTTAAATATCTAGTCTTAGCCACAACTCAAAGGGTTAAATGATATGGGAACAGTAAAGTTCTGGGTATTTAAATAATATTCCAGTTTTGGTTTTAGTATTACCTGTATGTGTTTGTTTTATTTGACTTTCTTGTGAAGTAGTTGTGCTCTGTTACTCCTGTATTTAAATGGCCGTTGTCTGGAAAGCATCTGGTGCTGCTGACCTTCATTCATCATGGACTTCATGAGCCTTTAGTGCCCTCTAGTGGCTTTTCCCCCAATTATAAGTGAGTCATGTTTTTGTGCAGACTTTATTTCCCGTACAGTATTTGGTATAGCCTTTAAAAACAAACAAATACAAATGTGTACTTAACTACATTTATTTAACAGTAGTTACTTTTTACATATAAAAACACTATACTATACACAAATACTATATGAAATTATGAAGTATGTTCAAACTTATAAACCCAGTATTTTAGAAAGTATCTAAAACTGGCTCCACATTGACAAACTACAACATTAAAATGCAAGGTATTTGTAATGATAAAAAAATAAATAATATAATAACGATAATAATATAATTCTGTGAAAAGAGCCATTCTGCATTACATGCACTTTTACATTTGATACATAGTATATTTAGCTGATAATAGTTATGGTATGGGATATCGGGCATACATTTACGTTAACATTTTGAATTCAGGACTTTTATTTGTAACTGAGTATTTTAAACCATAGCATTTCCACTTTTACTTAAGTTAAGGATCTGAATACTTATTCTCACACTAGATTTACAGGCAACCTTGAATCTTATTCAGATGTTATGAATAGCATTATATAACATTAAAACATGTATACATATTGTTTTGTTTAAAGACAAGAACAAATATAGACACCACCTTTCCTAACCAAACTCTTTGATGTAACCTCAATGAACAGAAACAGATTTAAATTAGTTTGTGGTAATTATAGTAATTTAAATCCCATCAGGGTGTCCATATTACTCTCGATAATCCACAGAAAATATTGTAAACATCTTTTATATTTTTCCAATTCTAGTGAAAACTTAAATTTTTTCTACCTCAATGTTATTCTGGTGTTGGCAGATTACTCAGTGAAATCTGAACATCTGGATGGAAAAACATCGATTTTTACTTGAGAAAAGAAAACTGACAACTGACTTTAAGCATAATCATTTTATTGTTAAATTTGCTTCAATATTTTTTTTTCATAGGATCTGACAACATATAACATAATTTGTTGGTATCCATATGCACGTCACTTTATGTTTGTCAACTTGAATAAAAGTAACAACAAAAAAATGATATAAATGTTAAACTATATATGACATATTTTTCAACTTTCTTGTCGCTGGATCAACTTTTAATATATCTGAAAATATCAATACCATGATCAACAATACTCTCTGCTGTTGTCTTGTTTAGACCATATTTATTCTACAGACAAAAGTCAGTTACACCAACATAAACATTTGTTATTCACTGACTTAACTTCAAATAAACAAAACAGTAGAGCATATTAAAGAATAATGAGTACATGTTAGAAAACATCTGTCTAACATAATGAAAATCAAAAGTTCATCATCAACAAGATGTGAAGGATGCCACAGTTTTTGCACATGAAGCAAAAGTCAACATACACTTACAGTATTTCAACTGAGGCTGACTTATGTACTCTCCAAGTACACATCAAAGTTTATATTTACAATAAATGTTGAATAATAAAACAAAACAATGAAAAACTGTGGAGAAAGTATTTGAAAGTTTAAAAAAAAGAAAGAAAGTCATTTTTATCGTTTTGTATTATTCTCAGACTGGTAGGAAATCACATTTTTCTTCCTGGTTTTTATCTGCAAAACACGTTACTTAAAAGCTCAAATGTGAAGCAATACATGACTCATGCGGACATTTACATCACAAATCATCTCTTTGTTTCCAACACGGTCATTGTAGTAAACCATCTTCATCATTGACATCAACTTTGTTGTGCACACCAGTTATAATGCACAACGTTTAACACAGTTTAACCCTCCTATTGTCTTCGTTTCCCCCCCCCTTACTTTGGTGTTCGTGGTCAAATTTGACCGGTCCTGTTTTAACTGCTATTACATTAACACAAAAACCTTTCATCATCACCAAATTTCATTTAACACCCTTTCAAACTGTAAATATTGTATCAGACTACTGGTATACATGAAAAACTGCAGTAAATATACATAGAATAGACACTGAACATGTATTGCGTGTGCCAGGTGTGATCCATGTGGGGGGGAAAAGTGTCAAATTGTTCTGTGTGTGTGTGAGTGTGTTTGTGAGTGCCAGGTGTGTGTTTTATCTGATCTGGATGGTTACTAATTCCTTTTCTTTATGGCGGTCATTTTTGACCGGGAACACCATGGGTGTTACAAAGTTGACTAAATCATCCAAAATTCAATGAAAGTGGTGATCAGCAATTTTATATGTTCAAATGTCTACTGTGAAGGATATCATAAAGCCTTGAAGGTGGGGTAGGTACGTTTGAGAAACCGGCTCGAGATACACTTTTTGTTATATTCCATGGAATGCTCTTAACATCCCGATAGCAATGAATATCTGAAGTGCTTTGACCAAAAATCCATAAAAAAATGTCATCTGTGGAAGCCGTAGTACTGTAAAAAGCACGACCAATCATTTTAGCCGGCCCGGCTAAAATAACTGGATGGCCTACCTGCCTGTCAGCCTTCCATCTGTGCACAAACTTATCTCTTGCCCTCATTGGTCATGTGCGCGTTCGTGTGTGTTGGAGGAGGGGCTCTGTAAGGAAGTGGCAGATTTTCTCCGGTTGTGTATTTTCTAATTCTAGCGCACTCGAGCTGGAGGGTTAATGAAAATGTCGTTAAAAAACTAAAATGACAAAAACAAATAACATGATCTCTTTCTTCAGGTGGACTATGACGTACATCATTTTGAGTATCTTATTTTTTTTTGCCAGTCATTACTCCCAGAGGAATACAATATCTTGAAAATAGAAAAAAACGGAACATAAAGATTTAAAGAATTGTTCCTCTTTTTGTTATCATTATCGTGCATACTAGTCATTGTCCATGAGGTCTTATAGAAGATTGAAGGAAAACAAAACATTTGCAATGTTAAAAAGAAAAAAAGAAAAAACTTCTCACATAGCTATCTCTAGCTTTTTTACTTCTCTGCAACTTCTTAAACTCATCAGTTGTCAATGGTGTTCATCAGACTGAAGGATGCCAGTAAACACCATGGTGTAGTCAACTTCATCATTTTTTAAATTGTTGATCTGTTTTGTATTTCTGCCCTGGCGTCTTCAGTTCCTGCTTCCTTTTGGTTTTCTCCCTAGATTTGGATATGAAAAATCCTCCCGTTTTTAAACGTTGTTTTGTTTAAGATATTTTTGTCAGGACTGTACATTGTTCATTTAATGTTGAAGGCTTCCTTTGCGAAAAATAATCAATACACTCTCCTACACCCGCGATGTTCTCTATTTTCGCTGCAGTTATTGTCCTTACTGTATAAAAGGGGCATATTTCCAAGAAGCTGGTGGCTGTGTGAAATATTATTCCCTTACTCATGTCCACAGTGATCAGCATTATTTTATTTTTTGTAGGCACACCATTCAGGCCAGCCACTCGAGACTAACCTAGGAAAGGGGGGGTTTGACCTTAGAGGGCTTGGAGGGTTAATATTGAAGGCTTCCTTTAAGCCTTTCAGTGCTTGTTCCTTTGTAATTTTCCTCCATGCTACTGGAACATCAGCTGGCTTGGCATTGTATTCTTGGGCAAAACTGTCATTGTATTTAACCAGGACATACTTCCAGTAGTCAGATGCCTCCCTGGTGTAGTCTGGAGGAATGAGCCAGTCTGGGTAGATTGTTCTGTACTCCTTGTAAGGATGCCACTCTCCATTAGTGTCTGCGCAACTGAATGGAAGTTCACTGTGAACATTAGTTGTGCACAGTGTTACCACCAGCTTCTCAGTGTCTACAATAATGTATCTACCGAGACCTTGTGGCCGATGAACAGCTGCAAAATGTTTCTCATGTTGTTTGCCTGCAGCTTCACAAGGAACTTTACAAAATGGACATTGTTGTCCACAACCAAACACCCGCTTGAAAAGCTCATCCTGGGGTTTGGTTGGAAGTTTGTTCACAGTCTCAGTGATGTCTTCAGATTTTGAGAACTCCTCCTGCAGCTGTTTATTCATTTCACTCAATGATTTCATGAGGCTCTCTTTAAATGGATGGCATGTGCTTTGGATTTTAAACAGGGCGGTTTTTTCATTCTCTTCTGAAAGCGAGATATCTGTGATCAAAAATGTGCGCATGTTTTTGATGAGCTCTGTGATGCTTTCAGTTTTATCTGGGAGCAGGACACCATCCTCTCCTTTTGAAGCCCTTTCTGTTGCATCCGTAATTTTTTTTACTATGACTTGCAGATTCTGACTTTTCAGTTCAAACAAAGTGTTGTCCTCTGACATTTCTTCCAAGATTTGCTGAAATATAAAATCCTTTACATACATTTCATAGTTACCAATGAACTTGACAAACCTCTGAAAGTCTTCCTTTTGCAGCAACTCTTTCTGAATGTTGTACTGGAAAAAGTTTCGGCAACTGTACTCTGCTGAATGGCAGCCTGCCAAAACGTTATCCATAATGTTAGTTCCCAGATGTCTACTGATGTACTCTTCCACAGCAGGTTTGATACAAAGTCTGACTAAAGCATTTGCTTTGCGTTGGCAATCATCTCTCTTTTTGTATAGATCGATAAAATCCAACAAGTACTGAGGCTTGTTCTTCTCCAGCTGCATTTTGGGATCCCTTGCTGACAAGACATTTCTGTGCATTTGAAGGAACTCTCTTGAGGCAATGCCACAAATGTGAAGCTTCAGGTCAATCTCAAACTTCAGCTGGAAACTCTTGCCTTTTAGGGAATCATCTACTTTTTCCAACAGATCCCTTGCAAAGGAGTCATGGTAGTCTGCCTTGGTTTTTGCAATACCACATACAAATAGTGTGCAAGACTCAATGGCAGTGTCTGCATAACTCTGCAACGCTTTGTATTGGCAGAATGCCAAACTTGTCAAAATTGTTTTAAGTTCAATTTTGACCTTAAAAGGCTTCGTTCCAATGTCCTTTAGGTCTTTCATTTTCTGTAATTCCTCATTCACCTTACGATTTGAGAAATGTTTCCTCAACTGTTCAAGGACTTTTTCAGATATGTTTAGTTCTTTCAGTCCAGACACATTTGCTGTGACTTTTGTCCACATCTGTTGAAAGTCACGTTTCAACTGTTCATCAGAAAGTGTGCGGTGTTCGGGATCACTCAAGAGTTTCGTTACCTCTTCTTCTATCATTTCTCTGTGTTTGCTTTGAATGTTCTGAGCCTCTTTTGAACTTTTTTTCCCCTCAAGAGCACAATCCAATGCGTTGTTTACTGAATGTTGGAATTCCTCTTTAAGCTTTCTGATAGAGATTCTAAAGTCACTTTTGTATTTCTCTATCAGACTCACACGTATGTCTTTCCTTTTGTAGTATTCATCAAGTTTCTTGTCCATTTCTTTTTGACCGCCTTCTATTTTGGCTAACAACTTTGATTTTTGTGAGGCAACCATTGTCGTCAAAGTGTTCAAATCTGTTTTGTTGTCAGAATTTAAGATCTGTAACTTTGCCCCATCCTGCCAACAGATCAAGTCTTTTTTGAACTCCCATTCCCATTGATTGAACTTCTTGCAAAGATCGTTATAAGCATGAGCCACAAGAGTGTTTCTGAAACTGAAGATGAAGTTCTCATATTTGACTGCTTTCCAGAGACTTCTTACCATTTCTAGAAACTCTGGAATCCGTGAAACATCATCGGTTTTGTCTTTTTTCACTGTCTCCAAGAGGTTTTTCTTGAAATCTGCTACAGCTTCACTGTAACCTGTGTTCACTGATGCCATAGGAGGAGTCCCATGCCAGAGTCCGGGGATGTTCCAGGTGTTTTCTTTTATGTCATAGTTCAACACATCTGCAAATCTCTTTATAGAGGGCTTATTTTCCATTTTTGCAGCAATTTGAGTCATTTCATTGAGTTGGTCCAAGAGAATTTGTCTCTCTGTCAAGGTCCTTGCATGAGCAGAGACTCCAGCAACATTCTGGTGCACAAAATGACAAATTGGCCTTTTGCCAATTTCCTTCATTCTCAGGAATGCATGGATTGCAATTTGCAGGATATCTTTCATTTCTGTGTAGTTCTCTGATGCAACATTGATAATGGTCACATCACTTAAACCAATGACAAAGGTTGCCAGCTGGTTGTCATGCTCATAACTGTCTTCTAGTTGTGCCAACTGAGGAGACTTGAGGCCCTCTGTGTCAATGAGAACTATGAAGTCACAGTTCAGCTGTTGTTGCATATCCTTATCTACTCTGAGGAAGAGCATATAAGCTCCTCTTGTGCATCTGCCACTGCTGACTGCAAACTGCACACCGAACATGGTGTTGAGGAGTGTTGACTTCCCGGTACTCTGAACACCCAACACGGTCAGTACCAACAGTCTGCTCTTCTCTCCAACCTTCCTGTGTAGCTCCATTAGTACATCTGTCACCCATTTCTCTGGGATGTTGCAAGCATCTCCATCCAAGAGCTCTAAAGGATATCCATCCAACAGCAGTTCAGCTGCCAAACCAGGGAGACGACGTACTTCATCAGCAGAGTTTTGTGACTTCAATGAAAACTCATATATCAGTCCCATCTCTCTCATGTAATGCTCTAACCCTAAAGAGCTTTCCAGCAACTCCTGATCCAGCTTTACAATCGCTTTCACATCTTTGTTCTCTTTGTTGCTTTGTTCTGTCCATTGATGGCGGAGTGAAGATAGTTGATCCCGGGAATGTGCATCCAGTTTGAGTTTCATCCACTTAAGGAAGAAATCTCTGCTCTTGCTGTCATTTTTAGGTAACTGATTAATGAAAGTCTTCATATCATCTGATAGTTGCAGTTTGCCAAGCTTCTCCTTGATTTGTTGTTTTTCTTCCAGTAGCTGAGACTTATATTCTTCCGGTTCTAAGTTACCATGTGTTTTCAACCTACATTCCTCTTTCTCCAACAGCGATAACCTTTTCCAGTCAGCGCCTTGCAGAGGAAGCTGTTTTCTCTTGTAGTCTGGTATCTTCTGTACCTCAATTCCTTTGACAATCTTTTCTGATGCTTTATTTTGTTCATCACTTGTGCATTCATCCACAGACAGACCAAAATCAACAGCTTTGTCAACCATATTTTCAATGTCCATTGTGGGTTTTCCAACTGTTATCTTGTTAATGGCTGCAGAAAGTTTATCTGAAAACTCCACATTATTTACTCTTGGGTCTTTCACTTTCACACTGCTGTTTGGCAAATCTAATTCTTTCACTGTTTTCCTGACAGATTCCATGTCCTCTTTAGCACTTCCATCTTTGCGGTTGACAACCAAGAACAGTTTGGATTTCACATCTTGAAGAGAAGTTAGAATCTCATGCTCCTCTTTTTCAATTTTGTCCAGGAATACAAAGGTAGCAGTTGACACATGAAACAGAAAAGTGAACTGAGCAAGTGACTCAGAAATGTTTCCTCTCAGATTGGCAAATGCAATTGGCTCTGGGAATACATCAGGATAATCTCTGCCTCTAGGAAGGTACCAGCACACCTCAGCCAAGCCATTGGCAATGTGTCTTTTAATTGCTCCTCCTTTCATGTCTCTGTGTATGAAGATATTGTGATTCTGCTGGCTAAGGCTGAGAACTTGATTCAACATCTGGGACTTGGACAGAGTACAGTTGTTGAGCCTCACAAAGGAATAGAATGGTATCTCTGCTTGGACAATGTTGTTTTCAACAAAGCCTTTTGATTCAGACACATTTTGTGGACGCCACTCTTTGACAATGTCCCTCAGAGCCCACAGCATCAGGGTACTCTGACTGTTATTGACATGGGGCATCAGCAGTGGGACAGAAAACTGGCACATTGACATCTTGAGGGCCATTTCCTGTTGCAAAAAGCTGTCAGCACAAAGGAAGAGTGCTGTTATGAGGTCAAGAGGGTTAATCCTATCGTCTGCAGATTCATCTGAAGTGTAAAGGTCAAGATCAAAGGGATCTCTGCTTTCTTCATTATCATCACTGTTTGATACTTGTGTACAGCCCCTGCATTCTGCATTGAGTTTAAATAGTTTTCTGAGAAAGCACCAAGGTATTTTCTGTACTGATGAGGCAGGTTCTTCATTTATGCTGTTTTTGTTGATCTCCAATAGAGACTGAAGAGTGAGCTTGTTGGGATAAAATGTCTCCAGTCCCAGTTTGGAGAGAAAGGTCAAAAGAACTGTTAAAGAGAAAGAGATGGTCATATTTAGATATTTGGTAGCCCTTAATGGATTGTTTCTGGATGTTTCCTCGAGGTCTGACATGCTGAAGGCATTTCCTTTCTTATTTAAAGTGGACCTATCATGCTATATTTGAACAATATATTGTAGGGCCATACCTATATAAAGTATATAAATATAGTTTTTTTTTCAAAATACCAAACAGATCCTGCATTTTAGCCATGCCTCATTTCGCTCTATTTGCTCTTTCCAGCCCTGTTTTTGCAGGGGCTGATTCTGTGAGCTGCAGCTGACCACGCCCCCCTGCGGGAGAGGGGAGCATGCTTTGAGATCAGCTGCTGGGCTGTCAGAAGAGGGGGAGAAAAAGAGATCTCCGTCCTCCGTGTTTTATTCTTATATGATTATACAGGGGTGCACACAACTTTCTCAGTGAGGTACTCAGATGAGTACCTGGAGTCAATGTTTGGTACTCCAACTTCTGGCTCCCCTCAAAGTTCCCATGAAGCCCTCTGTATCGCGAATGTCAACATGGGGTGGTAGTGGAGTACAGAGCTTCGCGAATGTCAACGGGGGGGGGGGGGTGGTAGTGGAGTACAGAGCTTCGTGACCACAGAGCGTGTGAACGTTGTGATCAGCTGTTTTAGCGCAGTGCTGCTGTACAGACCGACGTTAACAGCAGCCCTGTCTGTGCACACGGAGACCATGTGATCTAACCGCCTTCTGGAAAAGCTTCACAGGTACACAAATGCACTTTGTGACACAAGTGACAGTACGCATTTCAGATTGTTGCCGTGCATGAGTACCTGCGTACCAGTTATGTGCACGCCTGATTGTATAGAGTCATTATTCATTTGTTTTACAGCTCAATAAATAACAAAGAAGACCTTTGACCGGCACTTTTCTAATTTTGTCCAGAAGATTTCAACTTTAACGGACATGTTGACCGGCGAAAAAAAATCTAACTGAAACTCTGCCGCACGGTCCCCTCGTTCCTTGGAAGAGGCGGAGAGGTGGGTGTTTGTCATCTGCTTTTGTGGCAGACTACAGCGCCACTTACAGGCCTGGCATATGTACTACAGCGTCTCCAGCGCTTTTGAGCGGCAATGGCCGGCCGTGGCCCAACCCCACATTCCCCTGATAGGTGGAGAGTTGGCCATATAGGCGGAGCTCCTCGTTCCTGACGTCAGAGACATTTCAAATCTGTATCAGTCTGTATCAGATCCGTTTTTAGAGATTTGGGTATGGAGGAAAAGAGAGAGGGTTCTGTTTTCTGACACTTGGTGAGTTCCCTGGAACACCGGGGACACATATTCATGTATAAAAGACGTACAAATGTGCATTTTGCATGATAGGTCCCCTTTAAGATAAAGCCACATTTTTTGTATTATTTTAAATGTGTGGATTATTGTACATCCATGTTTGCAAGCTTGCAGAATTGCTTATTTTGTTGGATTACACAGTTTTGGCACATCTCCAAGATCTGTGAATCATTTGAATCTCTGTGATTTTATATTTTCACAGTTCTAAGAGATCAAAGATGTATTTAGTTATTTGTGTGGTAATTTTTACACTTTATATAAATCTTAATATATCCTTTAACAATTTAATTTGTATGTATATATATACACAGTACATCAGTACAAATCAAAGTTGAGTGAATGGGGGAGTTTACCTGCATGTTCTTCACCTGTGTTTGTAGACATGGTCTGACTTTTCCTTCAACTCCCCTGTGCTTTGAAACCTAAAAGGTAAAAAAAAAAAGAAAGCTTATTTTTTCATTTTGAGTACTTTTATTTTCAAAGACGTAACACATTGTGTTATTGCTTATTTATTGCAGATCAGTTGCAGACAATCAAAACAAAACATCTCACATAAAGTATTCTTTGTCATCCATTGCCATTATTTTCAGTGCAAATCATCAGACCAACTCTAGGTAAGTTATTCCAATATGTTGTATTTGGAACAGTTACAAAGAACAAACTACTGTTTGAATGAAGCAAAACCAATATCCTTTTTTGAAACCGTTGCGCCAGTTTGCTTATAGAAATATTATAATGTGATCAAAGAGGTGTGTCCTACTGTCTAGTGTAGCAATACAATTCTGATTTAGTCCAAATTAAGCATATCAATTAAAAAGTGTTTGTAGTAGCTTTACGGTAAACACTGATGATATAACATTTAGCATTATTACTTTTAATAAAGTACAACAAGTAAGTACTTCTTTACAACACTGATAATGTCTTAGTGCGTCGGCGGCAAAGGTCGCGTTAACCGAATATTTTCCGTCTATGACGGATTTATTTTAACCATGGGCGTCGCAGCCATTATATGAGGGTGGGACAAGTCCCCCCCACTTTTTCAAATGATTAGTTTAGACCCCCCCACTTTTACTATGCGGAAAGTCCGTGAATCAGTCTATCCACTCGCCGCACTTTGTAGAGCGCTGTGTCAGTGCTTCACTATCAAATGAAATCCATTCCACTTGCTTATTGAGAGAATGCCCAAATCAATGAAACTCCGTACCATGTTTTCACTGCTACTTTGTACCAAGGCAGATTCTCACATAGCGCGCGCATGTTCAAGGAGTGTTGTCATAGTTGGACAGCTCAGATCTGTTGTATGAAGCGATGCCGGTAGCGGAGGTAAGGCACACACACCAAATGTTCAGGAAATGGTTAATACAGCGAAAATCAAAGCTGACGATCTCTTGGTTTGATATGTTTTCTCCCCCGGACAACATGGACATAAGAACATTTTTTTCAAATAAGAGGAAAGTAAGTCATCAGCTGGTAGCAGTTAATCAGTTAACAGTGATGGCAGCGTCTCACTTGTCTTTATGTCATGATAGAGAGATACAAATACTGAATAGTTTAGATGAGAAAAGGCATCGAAATGCCAGGTTACTAGTATTTATCATGTAAACAGGGAACATGAATAACCCGATCTCTCTGTGCTAATGAGATGAGATAATACTCATAAACGGCTTACTGATGTCCATGTAGAGACGCAGTCAGTGTGTTTTACTGGAGCCTCAGTTCGATAAGAGATTCTTTTCTGAGTTCTTTAACTTAGGTACTCTCTCTCAAAATGGTAATGTGCATTATGTTTTAATTATACTTCTTATCATTCAGAAGCTTTTTGTGTGTGTTTATGTTTTACTGAGTGCTTATAGGCTATTTCCATCCCAGTATTCAGTTAACTATTTATTTTCTGTGCACATTACATAGACTAGCTAATATACTACCTACTGCTTGGGACTTTGAGTCTTCAAAATGTCCAATGTCACAGACTGGGACTTACTTTAGAGTCAGTTGTATTTACATTCAGTATGACTTGTTATGATTCAATGTGAAAGAGTATACTGCTCAATAAATAATTATCACTTCACCACCTCTCTTGACATCTAGGCACTTGAGAGTGAGTCAGAGGCAGAATACAGGGACAGTGGAGAGAGGTCCATTGCTGAGGTGAGTGATGAAAGGGAAATGACAGTTGAGAGTAAATTGTGATGTGGACTCTCATCCCAGGATTTTAAGGAAATCAGTGGGGATATTGAACAGGAAACATTTCAGTCAAGGGGCATCATATGACCAATATAGACAGAAGAGCAACATTTATTTGAACATTTAAGTCAATGATACCATTCCTAGGTGAACTTGACATCCGTATGGAGTCAGATCAGTCTCAATATTAATAAATGCTCACAGAAGGATTCACAAATGTATTTTGCGATTTATATATAAATGACTCTCCACAACAATATCTCTCAATGCACTCACACATATTTATTGTTGTATATAAATGTACAAAAAATGGGCATTTAAACTGCTTTTTATTAATTCAAAGACAGCTCTGAATTCATAATCAAATATGTTTCCTTTCTTTACTACTGGATGAAATTACAAAATGTACCCATCATTTTCCTCATGCTAGTATAGCCACATAAAAGTATCAAACCACCTGTTAAAATGCACCAGAATACAGGAAATCTATATTTTTTTTCGCCCCCCACACCCCCCGTTAAAAATGTCCCCCCCACATTCAGGATGCTTCCTACGCCCATGATTTTAACAATGAAGGAAAAATCTAAAAGCAGTCCGTCATTTTGACAGATTAGAACAAACTCAGAACAGCGCCAAAGCGTCCCCGCAGTGAGTTTCCGGTGTTATGCATGCCTGCAAAAAGGTAATGATATCGTCTTCATACCTAACTTTGCCGTACAAATCATTGAAATGTCTGAGTTTTTACTTCGCGTTTTTAGGTGCAGTGGGCATAACACGTCATATAACACCGGCGCTAACAGTTCACGAGCGTGCCCCCACCCCCCAGTTAGAGTTGTGTACAGACCGACGGGTAATAATGGATTTTGATGAAAATGTTACGATCCCGACTGTCAAAATGACGGGCAGCGAAAAAGTCTAGCGCCACCTCTGGTCGGCGGTCAAAGTTTTGTTGGTCAAAGATCTAAGAACCACAAATGTGCATGTGCTCCATTGACTGGCAGCGGAGCTCCCTGGTCAAAAACGACAGTCAGAAAGCACAATTTGGTTTCCTGTGTGCACAAAGTGTAAGCAGAGTTCAACAGTTCACCAAGTTCAAAGTTGCAATAGTTTCGAGGTGGTTCTTTAAATATTATTAAAGCCAATTAAATAATTAACTTAAAACAAAAAAACTTAAAGGGGCAGATGTCAGTGAAGTTTATCACGGTCATTAAGAAAGATGCTGCCGTGATTTGGAGTCATTGGGCCACATAACGAGCAAATAAAAAAAAGAAAGGATTTTCAATACAGAAACGACTTAATGTTTTAATCAATAACCATACAAAAAAAACCATAACACATAAAAACATGTGTCCTACTTGTACAGTGTTGTTATACAGTTCTGCATCAATACTGGGCCATGAGGTCAAACCATATGGAAGCTTTTGAAAAAATCCACAACTTTCCAATAAAAGAAATGTTGATATATTATAATAATGTAAAGAAATTGAAGATTGGTCCAATAAACAGATGTTTGTCCCACTTATTGCTGCATTAAATTGAAGTCATATAACATTAAAGATATTGAAAATAACTAAACGTTTACCAAAATCTTACCATTAGAAATGTGTAATTTTCAAGATGGCATCCAAAATTGCCGAAAACTAACTCCTTCATAATTTATTCTAGACAAGTCATTTTTTTGATGGCCTAGAAATCTATTGGACTCGTCCAATTTGCGATAATATGATTACATAATTTTTAAATCCAATATTTTGGTTTGCCAGTTCCTTATAATGACATTACACCCTTTTATTACTCATCCCAGTCAAGCAATTTTGGTGATCTAAGAATCCAATTAGCATAGTTAAATAACAAAATGTATTCCAAGTAGAATTACATATTGAAGCAATGGGTTATAAGCATATTGATGTTAAAAGTGGTGGTAATTGAACAATACAATTGGACATTTCAGTTGTATTGGTCATAGCTGGCATGAACCGATTGTCCTCCAATTGCTCCTGTAAATTGCGAGGTGGGGCCTCTGTGGATCAGACATGCCACAGATGCCCGATTGGGTTGAGATCTGGTGAATTTGGAGGCCAAGTCAACACCTTGAACTCGTTGTTGTGTTACTCAAACCGTTCCTGAACCACTTTTACAGTGTGGCAGGATGCATTATCCTGCTGAAAGAGGCCACTGCCATTAGGGAATACCGTCTCCATGAAGGCGTATACTTGGTCTGCAACAATTTTTAGGTAGCTTGTATGTGTCAGAGTGACATCCACATGAATGGCAGCCAGGACCCAAGGTTTCCCAGCAGAATATTGCCCAGACCTTCACAATACCTCCGCCAGCTCGCCTTCTTCCCATAGTACATCCAGGTGCCATGTCTTCCCCAGGTAAGCGACCCACACGCACCCGGCCATCCATGTGTTCTCAAAGAAAACATGATTAATCTAACCAGGCCATCTTCTTCCATTGCTCCGTGGTCCAGTTCTGATGCTCTTGTTCCCCTGACGGATTGCGGCTACCCAATATGCAAAAAAATACGATGCTCTGTGTGTTCTGACAGTTTTCTATCAGAACCAGCATTAACTGTTTCAGCAATTGGAGTTAAAGTAGCTCTTCTGTTGGATCGGATCACACTGGCCAGTCTTCACTCCCCATGTGCATCGAGGAGCCTTGGCCGCCCTTGACCCTGTCGCTTGTTCACCGGTTTTCCTTCCTTGGACCTCTTTTGGTAGGTACTGACCACTGCAGAGTGGGAACAACCATCAAGAGGTGCAGATTTGGAGACGCTCTGACCGAGTTGTCTAGGTGTTCACTTGCTGCCTAACATATCCCGCCCACTGACAGGTGCCATTCTAACGAGATAATCAATGTTTTTCACTTGTCCACCTGTCAGTGGTCATAATGTTAGGGCTGATCTGTGTATATGCCACATTTTAGAGGGGTTTCCACGTGATACGCTGCAGAAACCAGTTCTGGCCAGTCCTTAGCCCTGACCTTGTCATCGAGCATACCTTGATGCGAACCTTGAAGAGTAGTGGAGGCTTGACTCATGAAGTGGAATGACTGAATAATTGTGTGCGTTTGGGACCATGTCCACACCCATCACGTACAACAACGCTATGCAGGAATTCAATAATCTCACATAGACGACCAGGCTAGCAACACAGAGAATCAACAGAAGCGAGGATGAAACGAGATCACTCTGACCTGGATACATCAAGGAAAAACGTTCTACTTGCACGCCTTT